GACAGAGTGTGAGGTTGCTGTAATCTCCAGGGTGTAATTAGCCAGGAGCAATGTTGCCTCTGCCACTTTCTTCGAGGTCCAGCTGTCCCTGGAGTCATCCCACTGCTTCCGTCAGCAGAAGAGATGTAAATCCAAACAACTGAGGAATTAGCTGGTGTCAAAGCACCAGCTGGAGGCTCGGAGATGTCCCTGGCGAGGTCCCCTCGTCCTGCCCCCACGGTGTCACTGCCGAGGACGGAGCGTGAAGCTGGTGCTGGACCATGGCACTGCTCCTGGAAATGGTGCCCGTTTGAGGGGTGACAGTCCCACACGGGGGGTCCTACACTGGCTGCTTGGGGCGGTTGGACAATCCCACCCATCTGGGAGCAGAAAATCCTGCTGAGAGAGGGGACGTGAGACCCCAGCCCGGGGCAGGACAACGCGGCCACTGCTGTGAGGGATGGAGTCCAGCACCCAGACTGGTTAGTGCTGCTTGTCAACAATTCCAGAATAATTCCTGCAAACCCCCCTGTTCAGCTTCATTGCAAACCCAGGGGCAGCAGAGCTGCCTTCCCAACCATCCCCCCATCCTGGGACACAGCCCACTACTCCTCCTGCCAGGAAAGCCCTTTTCCCTGGAAGCCCCTTTTCTCCAGGGAGCCCCACGGGTTCCTGTTCTGCTCCAGGCTGGGGACAGGCTCCATCCTGAACATCCCTCCAGCTCCTCTGCCTCTGGCTGTGCCGGGGCTGTGCCAGGACTGTGGGTTACAGACGAGCCTCCCTGGGCCATCCAGGCAAACAGGATTTTTGTTTTTCTCTTGCACAAAGAGCCAGTTCTGAAATTTCCTGCCCACATCTCTCCCAGGAGCAGGGAGTGAGAAGGGGAGGGAGGAGGAAGGCGACTCTTCCTCATTCAAAACACTGTGAAAACACGAGGCTGGAAGAGGAACGGGTGAAACCATCAGAACCAGTTTATTGTTCCAACACACACCGAGGTCACACACCACTCCTGGCTCTTCCTCCCAAGGAGCCGGGACAATCTGTTTGGTGCAGGGATTACAAGAGGAAGCGGTTGGCAATCTGCTCCCAACTTTCCTGTTAGCTCAGCAAATGGCCTCTTTACTGTAGGAACAAATGCCAGGAGCTGCATTAACCCCTTCAGCACCAACCCCTCTCCCTCTGGACCAGCCTCCACCCCAGAGCGCCGACAGCACCGGGCGCTCAGCTCCGCGGCCGGCAATCACCGGGACGCGGCACAGCCCCACCGCAGCCTCCCCTGGGGATGGTTGGCTCGTGTCTCTCTCGCTGCCAGGACGTTCAGGAGAAAGAAAACCGGAGCAGAGGCACCGCGGTGCTCCCTCGCCCGCGGTGAGGTGTGCCAGCCCCACGGAACGGGGCTCACACGGCGCCAGCAGCAAAAGCCACTGCCAGGAAAGGTCCCTTCGAGACCTTATCGGAGAGTCTGGAGTTGGCTCCAGTGAATCACAAATTAAATGGGGGAAAATGAAACAAGTGACACCAGGTCGGGAACCGACCGCGGAGCCTGGAGGGAAACACGCCGCAGCCGGGCCCGTGGCGATGGAGATCAGGCGCCCTCTGGTGGAAGCAGTGCGAACTGCAGGGCAGCAGGACAGGACAGGGCAGGGCAGGGCAGGGCAGAGCAGAGCAGAGCAGCAGCCTCGGCCAGAGGGGAGAATGAAAATCACAGGAGTGGAGACAGGATACAGCCCTGTCCCGCCTCAGCTCCGGCCGTGATCGCCGGGTGAAGGGTTTGGCTGTTCCCAACACCGGCCTGGGGTAACGGCATCGGCTCACAGAGCCGTGTAACGGCATCAGCATCGGCACACGGAGCAGCTCGAACCCGCCCTGCCAACTCCAAAGTCGTTCAGCGCAAGGAACTGCTCAGCAAACAGGGAGCCAGGGCTGGTGGGACCCGGCTCGGCTGGGAAAACTGCAGAGGAATTGAAACCAGAGCAAATCCAAAGCGCCTTGAGGTGCCAGGCCCTGCCCCACACAGGAGGACAAGGATCCCTCAGCTGGTCTTGGGAACATAACAGAGATGACACTGAAAACATGACTCAAAGACAGAGCTGCTGCTGGCCCATCACCACGGCCTGGAGAGCAGCACAGGCTCTGGGATTACTTATTATTGTCTAGCACCACATCACACAACCCCAAAGGCAGGCAGCACAAGTCAAGGGACCCTCAGGGTCCTTCTGCTGTTGCAGAAACAGGGCTTAAGGGTTGTGGCTTCAAGAATATAATAAATAAAGATCTGCAGCATCCTGAAGAGCATCTGCAAGCTTGCAAGTAAGCTTGCTCCCAAGAACAGCTACATCTGCCCGTCACTGGCTGGCCAGGCAGCTTTCCAAGTGCTCCATCAGGCGTGCTGACCCGAGCACACTGTAACACCACACCAAGCACCAGACTGGCCTCAGGAGGAGCTGGTCTCCTCTCTGCCTAGGTCCTGAGCAGTCTTTGGAGTGTTAAGAAGCTTCGTGCCTCACGTCTGGTATGGAACGAGCCTCATGTTTACCCCACTCTGACCTTTCCTGTCTCTGACCCTACAGGGAGACAGACATCACCACGAGCTGACAACCGGCAGCAGAATCAATCTCAGCCCATCTGAACGTGGCAAAGTCTGATGATGGTGCTGAGCCAACGAGGGACGACTCCTCGCTGTAATTGTAAGAGGCTCATCAGATTTCTGTCACCCCAGGTCTTGCCCAGCACCAGGGGTTACCAGAGGCAGGCAGAGCGGGATCTGAAGGGGAATCGTTGCTGATCACCTCTGACTCACACCCAGCGAGAAGCCAGCTCTTCACCTCGCACAGGAGATCGGGCTTTTCCCCCAATCAGCACTGCTGCCAGCAAACACAAAGCCAAGCAAATCCTCTGAACTTTGCCCAAGCAGAACACCCTCGTGTGTGAGCTGGTTTTACACAAGGCTGACAGAACCGTTTTCAACCCGTAGCGCAAAGCGTCGCTGCCTGCGGAAGCTCAGTCTTGCTGCCCCGACCCCTTCAGAGCTCACACACGCCAGTCTCATTTACAGGACACCAGCAGCCCTTCCACAAAGGGAATGAGAAGAGGAGAAGCAACGGGATTGAGAGGAGCAGAGACACCAGCGTGGTCTGGAGGGATCCCGAGGGCAGCGGCTCGTTCTCGCCCAGCCCGATGCCCAGGGCTCCAAGACACCATCGCTCCGAGGGCGCGCGTGGCTTCCCGGGGATTCAGTCAGAGCAAAGGCAGATCTGCCACCAAAATCAACCCTAAAGAAAGCATCGGGCTTGGGAAGCTGGAGAGTCGTGGTTTAATCCCGAGACAGCGCAGCTGAGTGAGTTTAGAATTTAAGTTACAAAAAAAAGAAAGCACTAGAAAATAATCTTGATACAAGAGCAATAATCAGCTGAGGTTCCCCACCCTGCACAGGGAATCCTGCTCCGCAATCCGCCCAGCACAGCTGGGATGCTGCCAAGGCATTGCTTGTTCCCAGCACACACTGGGATGGCAAACTGTCCTGGGTGAAAGTTACGTGGGAGAATCCCCAGCAGTGGGAGTTAAGATGCTGCCACCAGTTCTGGTTTTGGCCTGTTCTTGACGGGTGATGCTTCTGTGGAAGAAAAAGAAACTTGTTACAGAAACAGAGAATGCAAATAATCTCCAGGCAGCTCCTGTGGAAGAACCAGGACCCATCACCCACTCCTCTGCAGAGCAACAAATGCTTGCACAGCACCTGAACTAATAAAAATTTGTTATAAATAATTCCACATATTGAGTATCCCCTTCTTTTTCACAGCACCTGAAGAACTGAAAGTTTGAGAATGTACCCAACACTTTAGTAGCCACCAGCCCAGCGACACAGATCGAGGGCAGTGAGTAGACAGGCTCTTCCCTCACCCCTTTGGCCTGACCACACGAGTCTAAAGGAGGCTCAGCCAGCTCCACACAGCACAAGCAGCTGGTATTTTGTTTGGCCATCCCACCACCAAGATGACATCTGATCCATGTTTACCAGTAAACAAACACTAAAAAGAAACCAGCCCAGATTTCTCCTGGGCAGATTCCACAGAGAGGAAACAGCTCCTCACAGCTCCTGGTTTCCACAGGCAGGGAAGTCCAGCCCCTGCGACCGACGGTTCTGTGTTCTGCTGTCCCAGGAGACAGATCTTCTACCAGTTTTTGCCTTCTGGCACCCAGCTGAGTCTGGCTCTGCCTCACTGTGTGTCTCCAAGGACAGGCTCCACCTTCAGTTCTTCAGCGTGGACAGACACCTGGTAACACTCTGTGAAGGCTCCTTCCTCTCCAGGCCAACAGTGCCCGTTTGGTCCCTCTGCTTCAGGAGCTTTCTCCCATTTCCCTCTTCACACTCAGCTGCACAAATCCTGGTGCTGAGCTTTTGGATTGCTCAGGAGTGAACAGGCATGTAGCTCGTGCTCCACCAGCCCTGGAACTGTGGGGCTCCAGCCATCCCCACCCAGCTGGTTCAGAATTACCGCTGTTACCTGAAGCACGGTCACAAGAGCTACGAGTCGTCGCGAACCTCAGTGGAATCCAGTTTTGTGCAGTGTGAACACCAGTACCTGTGGTCACAAAGAACTCTTCCTGCATGGCAGCATGTTGTGATGACGTGCAGGGGACCAGTCTGAGTGTCGTGTGAGAAAGTCTTGCCTGGGCCAAGCAGAGAGCCAAGGAAGGAGCCCCTCAAGGAGCTTCACGACGGAACATGGGCTGGGTGTTCGAGGCAGCTGGCAGCCTCACAGCAGGTACAAAGGTGACTTAAGAACAGCAGATGTAACAACAAGGAACTCTCCAAGAGGAATGAGCAGATACTGACTGAGCAAAGAGCCCAGAGCCCTGGGGCCTCTTACAGTAAAGGGTCAGCTGGAGTTGGCAGAGGCACGTGGGGGAAGCTGGCACAGCCCAGATAACGGGGCTTTACACCAGAAAGTTTATATTCCATCACATTTCCTAGGACAATACTCACAACAGGAGAGGGTCTCAGACTACTGCATGGAACTGAGAAGCATGAGAAGCCAAAGCTGCAGAGAAAGCATACCTGGGATCTTCTCTGGGAGTGGCTCAGAAGGAACTTCTGGAAGCTCCAACTGTTCCTGTAAGAACATTAAAGATGACACATGACACACACCCCACGTACCAGGCGGTTGGTCACAGACTCCTGCACCGCAGTTTTGTGCAAAGACTGTCTAGGAACAGAGTGATGACCTAAGAGATTTCATACACAAACTGCCACCTGTCCCCAGAACTGCAGGAGGGGTTATGGGCACCAGTACTGCCCAGTAAATGAGAACAAGGGGTTTTTAAATTATTATTAAATGAGACTTAATAGGACCCTGTACTAGGTAGGAGTCTCCTCACACCAGTGCTAGCTGCAGATCCTCTCCACCTCAGTCTCCACTGGCTGCACATTTCCTACAGTGGAGCCAAGTCAGGCCAGTGTCTGGAAGAGCCACAGGCACCACAGAGATGGGTGGGGGTGACGACATGCACTGAGTTCCGTGATCTGAGCTTGATCCAGGGCTGTCAAGATCCTCCACTGGTGAAGTGGAACAGAGAACCAGTAAGAACAGAGATCAACTGGCTGTAACAGGCAGCAAATAAAGTACAACCCTTAAAAGCATCCCATTTCTGAGTCACCCCGCTGTGTGGAGCGACTGGCTTGATCTCTGATGACCCAGCAACTGGGAATAAATAGGTATAATTTTGGTCTCTGGCAGAATTAAGAGAAGCTATCAAGAGTGATGGAAAAGGTACTTTCTCCCCTCTTACAAAGAGCTTTCTGAAAATGTGGATTTAAAGCAATTACAAGGACATCGGGTTAGTCCTACCTGAGTAATAGTGTTTAATTCTTCTAGAATGGCATCTTCATCTTCCTCAGTCAGGCTGCCAGCCAGGATCTCATCTATTTGCTATAAAAGAGAGGAAAAGACATATTCCAGCCAAAAACAGCTGTGTGGCTTGTAGTGTGTTTCATGTGCACAGGAGAACAATGTAAATGTGGGGTGAAGGGGTACTCAGGAAATTAACAAAGGTAATTTTTCTGCAGGCAACTGAGATTTAATTCCCAGTCCAACTGCCTCTTAAATGAAGCTGGGAACCCAGTGCACATCAGAGCAACTCTATGGCAGGCAGGCTCTGCTCACAACTGCTCACGCACACAGTACGTACCCTCTGGTACTCCACAGCGTCCTGGGTTTCACCAATTATTCTTTCCACTTCTTCTATTGACATAACCTGATGAAAAGAACCAAAAATCCAGCGATGAGCGAGGCCTGTGGGGAGACAGCAACAAACACCCTGACCCTGCCGAGTCCAAGGCAAGAGCACGCTGGTACCTGATGCATTTTGTTCAGACATTCGTTGCCTATTTTCAGACCCTCAATGACTTTCATTTCAATCTGGGTGAATTCAATATCCTGGACCTGAAACAGAAAGGAGAAGGGGAAACATCACGGGTTGTCACATTCCCATCGTCAGCCAGATACAAACTGCCAAGATCCCCAGAGAAACAGCAAGGAGAAATCAGTCAAGAGCCCTTCTCTGGTGAGCAGAGGATTAAATTGTACCAGTAGAAAGAAACATTCACAAAAAAGCCCTCACAGGCGGCTGCAGAGGCACCTCCAACAGCCCTGAACTGATTCTCTCGCTGACAGTCTAAGCTGAGGCCATAGTTTCCACAGCCCCCCCAGACCAAACACGTCCATTCCTGGGATCAAGGCACCGAGGCTGCCCGGGGAAGTTCCTCCCGCAGCTGTTCACACCCTGACTCAAGTTCTACTAATTTACAAAGCACGTGTTTAACATGGAACCTGCACGACAGACCAGAAACCTGCTCACCACCTGGATCTTCAGGGAAGAGTCACGTGTGATTTCAGAGACATCTGCCCTTCGGACAGGGGACTAAACCCCTGTCAGGACTTGCTGGTTAAACTGCAATTCCATGGGCAAAAGGAACACCCACCCCTGGAAAAAGACTCATCCCGAGTGCAGGCAGCGGGTCAGGGGCAGGGGCAGGGCCAGGGGTAGGGCACAGCACCCATCCTCACTTACCATCCGCTCCAAGTTGCTGATTTGGTTTTCTGTCTTGTCTAAAAGTTGCTCTTGGTAACGCTTCTTCTTCAGCAAGAGCAAGGCTTTTCTGAAGGAAAAGAGAAGGAGGAAAACTCAGTGCAGATGAAAGCAAACCAGCCTAAAAGCCTCACATCAAAGCCCTGTTTGTTTTGTGCTTTTTCCAAAAGAGGAAAAAAAAACCCACGTGCAAATTAAATGACAACTCTGAACTGCTGCTGGGAAGAATAAGGATGAGCAAATCAATCATAGATTTCATAGAATCACAGAGTGCTGTGAGTGGTAAGGGACCCACCAGGATGATGGATCCAACTCCTGTCCCTGCACAGGACAATCCCAACATTCACACCATGTCCCTGAGGGCCTTGGCCAAATGCTGCTGGAATCTTGTCAGGCTTGGTGCCATAAGCACCTCCCTGGGGAGCCTGTTCCAGTGCTCCACCACCCTCTGCCTCAAGAACCTTTTCCTCATGGCCAACCTCACCCTCCCCTGCCACATCTTCCTGCCATTCCCTCTGCTCCTGGCATTCGTTGGTGGCCAGAGAGAAGAGATCAGCGCCTGCCCCTCCTCTGCCCCTGGGGAGGAAGTTCTAGACCCCCAGGAGATCTCCTCTCAGTCTCCTCTTCTCCAGGCTGAACACACCAAGTGACTTCAGCCTCTCCTCATACCCTTCCCCTCTAAACCCTTCCCCAATGTTGTGTCCCTCCTCTGGACACTCTCCAGAAGCTTTAGATAATTTTTATCCTGAGGTGCCCAGAACTGCCCCCAGTGCTGGGGTGAGTTGTCTGGTACCTGAAATTTATTGTCTGGTACTTGAATATTGAGGTCTGTTTGTTGTGGACGAGGACTTTGTTGGGCCAGTTGTGCTGCAGCAACACAAAGTCTGTGCACAAATGGTTTACAATACGCACTCAAAACAAGGCGTAAGCGACGGCCACTGACACCGCGTGTGCCACGGACACTGCGGCACAGAACCACTTCTGGGAGGCCTGTTCCACCACCAGCCTCGGAACACAGGGAGTCCCTCGTGGCTGCAATAAAACTATAAACTGAACTTTGTGTTTCTGAATGAATGGTCTGCAAGGATCTCCACAGCTCAGTGGCACCCGCCGTTCGGCCACTGTCCCTGCCCAGGAGCAGGAGCCGTTCCCTGGCCCCCGCTCCCCGCTGGCCCCGGGTCCCCCCGGCCCCACTCACTCTTTTCTCCCCTCTGTCAGCAGCTGCTTGGCCAGCGCCCGCTCCCGCTCCAGGTTCAGGCTGATCCGCTTCTGGTACTGCCGCAGCTTGTCCCGCTGCTGCTTCAGTTGCTAAAGGCCGGACAGACAGACAGAGAGATGGACAGACAGACAGACAGATGGATGGACAGATGGACAAATGGGCAGACAGACAGATGGACAGATGGATGGACAAACGGACGGACAGATGGATGGATGGATAGATGGGCAGACAGATAGACAGACAGACGAATGGACAGACGGATGGACAGACAGACAGACAGATGGATGGACAGATGGACAAATGGGCAGACAGACAGATGGACGGATGGATGGACAGACAAACGGACGGACAAATGGATGGATGGATAGATGGGCAGACAGATGGATGGACAGACGGATGGACAGAGGAATGGATGGATGGACAGACAGACGAATGGACAGACGGATGGAC